AAAGAGATTTTATCCGGTAGTAGAAAGATACTGAAATAAATAACGAAAGAAAGCTAACCCATGGGAGAGAGGCACCTTGTTATGAATAATGAGTGGGGTGAAGCAGTGTCTGTAATCCCACGCTGATAATCCATAAACCAGAGGGAACTCTATCTTATTTCTCCTTCCACATAAAGTAAAGCCTCAATTCAGACTTTACCAATTATTAACTTGTGATGTTAGGTTCTGGAATAAAGATTAACACTGTGGAGTCACTGGAAAAAGAAACTTGATAAGCAAATGAATAATGAAACAATTATTTTCAAGCCCTCTAGAAATATTTAATTTCATGTGACCACTGAAACTGCAAATTGTTCTCAGTCACCGTGAAAGACACTGACTTGACTTTGGCTCTAGTTATTTACACTTAAAAACAGTAAGGTTAAATTTTAAAAAATATATTATTCGGTCACACTTTTCCAATACTCAGGCTAGCCTTCCCTTTTCTGGTCAAAGTTTCATTTTACCCAAAAGGTAAAATGTATTTGAAGGATGCCCATAGTCTGAAGAACAGTATAAAAGCAAAATAAACAAAATGCACTCCCATTTCTGTTCTCTCTAGAACTTATCTCATGCCCTCTAGAGAAATGTCCTTTTCTTTAAACCAGTAAATTTCAACAGTTTTTGCTTATTGTTGCTCTCTTTTCTCAAGCTAAACTTACCCATGACTCCATTATATGAACACACAAAACAGCTAAATTCGGTAGGCCAAAGATTCTGCATGGTGCTTCAAGACCCACTCACATGTGGAGAGTGGATTGTTGGTGGGTCATGATGCACAGATATACACCCATGCTCTCCAAGGCTGCTCAAGCTACTATTCAGGACCCTGTGGGAGCACTCAGGAAGGGCACTGCACCCACAGTGCTGTGCTTAGGGCTTCCTCCCTCAGGAAGCTGAACTGGTGAAGTTTCTCACTAGCCCTCTAGACTACTTGAGTATGAGGGCAGCAGCTTCTGCGTGATAATCATGATCATATTAGTGACTGACATTCTTTAGCTCTCTGAGACTAAAATACAATTTATAACATACAGTATACAGTTTAAGACATTTGACTTTTGAAACCATCTTTCGATTGCATGACATATCAAAATAAGAACTATCTGTATCCTTATTTCACAACTGTAAATGGTACATATTATTGCCATGTTACAAAGGAAAATGGAGACTCAGAGAGACTAAGTTATTCAAGGTCGCAGACTATCTATAGAAAGTGAAGTGCCAATATGAGTTTGTATGATCCCAAATCCATGCTATTTCTACTGCAACACACTGCCACTCAAAGATGACACAAAGTTTACCATGAAGGAGCTCACAGCCTAGGACCCTACAAAATTAGTAAGGCAGAAAGAAAAGGGTATAATGTTTGAAAACTATACAACAAGAACACAGTCATACATTTCTTGTGTAATAAAGCAAAAAGAATGTTTTTAAAAGCAAAATATAAGTATCACAAGAAAGGTAGACGTTAGATCAGAAAAAGAAAAGATTAAGAAAAACTGGAAAAGACATTTAGAAAAGATAGTATTCTAGGTGTTGAAAATAAATATGACTTCGACATTCAGAAGTGGGATAGAACACTTCAGGCAGGGGAAAGAACATGACGAAGACACACAAAAAGGAAAATACAAGGCATATATGTAGAAAAGCAAATATTTCAGATCTGTTAACACAGTGTTTCCTACATTTCCCAGATAAGATTTCCAGTGAATTCATTAAAAGTACAGATTATCAGGTTTCTCCCTCGGAGATTTTGATTCAGTAGGTCTGAGATGGGGTCTAGGAATTTAATTTTTTTTAAAGTACTACAAGTGATTTTTTTATTACTAAGGAAGTTTAAGAAGCATTAGACTAAAGGACAGAGTTGGCAAAGGGGAGTCATGAAAGAAGAAGCTTGAAATAATAGGCCAAGGAATTTGGCCTTATTTCTATAGTCAACAGAAAGCAACTATAACGTCTTAATCAGGCTTCAGGAAGACTATTTTGATAGTAACGAGTGGAAGGGGAAAAAAGAGAAGGGAACAAGGGTAAGGGTAATAGTAAAATAAATTTAAAAGAAAAAGCAGATTTGAGATACGCCATGGATGAAAAATTAGTAGAACAGTTCAACTATCTGGTTGTGCAAGAAAAAAAAATAAGAAAAATGTCAAATAAATCTAAAATTCTTCTTTAGGGGGCACTGATACCAGGGAATTAGAAAGAGAAGTCACAGAACAGGGAGAAGTTTGGGAAGAAAAGATAATGAATTAAGCCTTGGCTAGGGCTTGGGTAACAAGTGAGATATTTAAATATAGAGATGTCTAGTAGGCAGCTGGAGAAAAGAAAAGTAAGTCAGCCTAGAGATACAGATTTGAGAGTCTGAAACAAACATTTGATAACTTTATCACAGAGCACCCTCAATTAAAAAGTCAGACAAGAGAAATGTGATGACACCATACTAGAGTTATCCTACTTATTTGATAATGGACTGTGGGTTGCAATTTTCTTGGCAGAGAGGAAAGAATTTACTTGGTCTTTCTACTGTTTAAAGTGTTTTACAGGTTTAAGAGCAAACATAAAAAGCAAGCTAGAACTATCTACGGTGGTATCTTTCACATTTCAACCTTGTAGCAAACACAAATTGCTTTTGGAGTATCCAGTTCACTATAATTCAGTAGAAGTTAAACATTATTATTTTTTCTTTTTTTACTTTGTGCAAAAGTAAGCAGCAGGAGGAAGATATGCTTTAAACATTTAAGACATGCTGTTGCTACCAATAGAAAAAATTCAAACTAATTTCCTAGTAGAGTCAATCTCAAAGTAATTCTGCACAAAAGTTATTTTAGACCAGAAATTTAATTCAACAAAAGACTGACAGAAAAATTCCTTTTGCCTACACTTGCTCTACAAGGCTGCTAAACTTAGTACTATCCAAGACCCTAGGGAAGTTAGGGAAGGGCAGTGGGCTGACTGCATTGAGCTGCCCCCCACCCCAGAATGCTGTGCTACCAGTGAAATTTCTTGCCAGCCTTTCAGAAGGAGGCAGCTTTTACAGCATTCAAAATCACATTAGACACTTTAATAGCTATAGAAACCTAAGGTCAAAATTCTGATTCCACGACCTCCTAATTACACAGTCTTAGGCAAGCAACTTAACATCTCAGTATTGATTTCATCATTTACAAAACAGGAATAATAACATCCATATCACATGGTTGTTACAGAGATTACATAAAATAAATACTTAGCACAGATAAGAAAAAAAATCATTACAATGCAGTATAACACATGTTTGATGGCTCAGCCTGGGTGAAAGTTGTCTTGGGGAGGGAGGTAGAGGTAGTGAGGAGTTAATAATGGAGGTAAATTTTAAAAGGAAAAATAAAAATTAGCCAAATAAAGGAGAGCACACACTCCAAGCAAAAGAAAAAAAGGGGTGGGGGGACACTGGGGAAGGCATGGATATGCAAGGAAACTTGACATCTTCACAAAACATCAGTGAAAAGGAATCCTGGCAATTCCCAGATCTAACATTCATGATTTTTTCCATTTACAAATATACCTGCAGGATCATGACATACAGTGAACCTTTCATTTTGATTAGGGACAAATTTGAATCATGAATAATATAAGACTAGTATACTGACGATGACTTCTGAGATACCAGGGTGACAGAGTGATTGGTGATGTTGATAAGGAATAGGAAAAGGAGGGTTTCATGTAAAGATGGATTTAATTTTGATATCTAAAATAGAGATGTTTCCTAAAGGCAACTCAGAATGAGGGATAAGAGCCCAGAAGAAATATTTGGCCTTGTCTCCTAGAGTTCAGAATGTTAGTATACATGCTATCAAATAGATCAATCAAGGATACTGAAGACAGCAAAAAAAAAAAAAAAGACTAAATATGTCTTATACATGTCCATTTTAATTCAGTTTTAATGCAAGGGGTATAAATAGAGTGCTTACTATATGCCCAATATTAGCCTACCAAAACCAGGCTCAATGATGAGGGAAGCACGTGGATAAAGAAGTAAAGACAAGGGTAAAAATAATGTGCTTTTAAGTCGATGCTATTATAAGTGTCAGTAAGAAACAGGTGACTACATCAAGCAAGTAAGGTAGTAGTAGGTTACAGAGTTTTAATTACATACTACAGTAAAGACTTTGAATCTTATCCTTTAGGTCTCAGTGTTCACTAATTTTTAAGAAAGAAAGACATGAAAATTTGGGGGAGTAAAAACACTTGAAGATGATTTTCTTGGGGCATATTTGTCAGAATCACTGCTTTAAACAATGGTGGGGCACTGTAGGTGTTTCAGCAATGAGTACTGTGATGAAAGTGATATTGAGGAAAACCATACTTAAAGGCCTATGGCAAGCATTGGTGGGATAAAGGACAGGAGGCAATGTATAATCTTGAGACATGGATTTTATAGTGAGACAGATGTAGGTTCAACTCCCAGCTCTAGCTACTTATTAGTTATGTGACTTTGAGCAAATTACAACCTATTAATGCCTTAACTTATTCATAGGTAAAATGGGAATGATAATTCCTATCTTAAAGAGCTGTAATGAGAATTAATGAAATGATTAAATACATATAAATGATACTAAAATGAATATAAGAGCTTTGGTCTGTCACTGTTTATTACAGTAATGATAATTACAAAATCATCTGGCAATCCAATTAAACCAAGCATAATTAAAATCTGAATAATAAAATTAAATCATTCTTTAACTCTAGTTGTAACTGAGTTTTAAAAATGCCAGATTAAAAAAAAAAAACTATCTCAAATCATCTCAGAAGTTACAAATATTACGGACCACAAATCATTTTATGAATTGGTTCAATGAACACTTACTGAATGTGTACCATGTAAAACATGCTGTGCTATGTATAGCAGGAGATTAAAAAATGAGTGAGATATAGCCCCTAATCTCTTTTATAATTCAGAACAAAGGGCAAATTAAGAGTTTTACCTGACTAACTCGATTTACTTCCTCCTCTTCTTCCTCAGCTTCCTCTCCAAATGAAAGTAAACTAAAATTTCTGATCAGAAATAAAGAAAAAAAAAGAAGGAAAAAAGAATTAATGAAAGAAAAATTAGGAAGAAAAAGTTAAACAAAACTTATAAATATCCTACTTTCAAAGCAATAGAACCATTAAATACACTAAGTCAAGCATGACAGAAATAATTAAATCTTTTTATATTTACCAAAACTGGTGAGCAAAATGGGGATTTCTAAAAAACTAATAAATATATAGCTCTGAGAGTACTACAAATGGGAAGGAATTTATCTAGTATCTGCCAAAACAATCTTAATATTTTAAAATTAATAAGTTAAACAAAATTGTCAAAAAAAGCAATAAATTTAGCTGACCAAATGGTACATGGGAAGAAAAATCAAGTTTGTCTTTTTTGAGCCTTCAAATTAATATATCACAAGGAAGATAAATAATAAGTTATTAAAACTCTCCCTTCAAATATTGGAAAAATAAAAGGTTTGGCCACAAAAGAGGAATTTCATTTCAAAACTTAGATATAATCAATAACTACCATATCATCCCTATTATATTTGCTATGAATTAAAAACAAAAACAAAAATATCCAACTTTTGGGCTTGTTGTCAAGATAAATCACAGTTATGGAATATTATATCTGAATATAGTGACAGTGACCTTTCACCCAGAAATAAATTAGTTAAAATAAATAATTAAAAATAAAAGGAAATCAAATATAAAGCTGTATAAGAAGTTATTTTGCCACAAGATATCAACTGCTTATTAAAGTGTCTGGCTCATATTTGACAGTTTAATAACAGCAACTTAACTTACTTACATTGTAGGATATCAAGAAAAGAAATGAATATATATTGAATACCTACACTATTGGGTGTTTTCAAATTCTCCTTCTCATTTAATCTTCATTATAACCAGGTGTTGTATTATAAATCTCCATTTTATAAGATGGGGAAACTGAAGCTCAGAAAGATTAATAAACTTTGCTTCTTATAACTGGGGTAGGCAGTATTATACTTAAAACTGTCTGACTCTAACACTTACAAGTACAATAAAATCCCTAATATGACGCTACAGTTCAGTAAAAGAGTAAGTTGAAATCCAACTCTCTGATATCTATTTTAATAGACAAAATAATGTAAAGAATATTGTTCACAAATTACTAAAATTTATTAAAAGAAGAAATTTCTATTTTTAGAAAACTATCCTTAGGAAATAATCCAGAATACAGAAACAGCTTTATGCTTAAATATATTTATAATAAGATTATTTTAATAGCACCAAAAAATAAGAGTGAAAAGCTAAATAATGTAACCATGTGGTCATTATATCCTTCATACTTTACTTTTCAAGTTCTTTATCCTGAGCATATATTAATGGAAAAACAAGTAAAAAACAAAAAAAATTTCTCAATAACTCATTTACATAAATAAGTCTTGTAGTGATCATAAATATTTACCTACTTTTTAACACAGATTTCATATGGACATCTCAGACAATACTTATTTACCTTAAGTTTTTAAAGTTGTATACTGTCTTTGAATATAAGAAATGTACATTTAGAAAAACACACACACAATATAATTTAGATAGTACCTCTTGGTCCAAACTGACCTCCCCCTCACTACTAAACAATTATTACTAAAGGAAATAAAGTGAACTAAATGAATCAGTGTTGCTTTTCAAGCTGAGGAGAAAATCCTTCTACTCTGATTATTACTTTGTGCCTCTGGGTTTCAATTTCTTTACTTCCTCCTCTGGTTTCTCTTGTTTTGGCTTTTTTATTTCTCTTGGAATGATGTCATCAAAAGGATTAAACAAAACCTATGGAAAGAAACATTTTGAAAACATGATTCAATTTTATAAAATTTCACAAAAACTTAAAACCAATATTTAATTATGTTGCCATTAGTGTCTATAATTTTTCCTCACATAACCACTACAAGCATAATGATATACACTTCCACTTACATGGCCTCACTGGATTCTCCCAGTAATCCAATATGCTATTAAGTAAAAGGTATTTTATCCCTATTTTACAAAAGGGAAAAATATTCAAGAAAACATAACACATAGTAAGAGAGACAAACTCAGGTATTTTGAATCCAAATCAAATGCTCTAATGTCCTTGCTTCCTCAATGAAGAATCACTCTTAAATTACCTAAGATATCACTTCACTGGGCTAAATAAACCTAGTTCATCCAGCTTTCCATTATGAGTCCAGTATTGCACTCATTGGATTACCAGCTGAAGTTTCATCTTTGAATTCGAAATCTTCAATTAAAAAAATTCTTAATCAGAAACTGTGACTAAATTACAGAGATAAAATCTAAGTAGTGATGTTAATTTCATCTGATAATTTAAAAATACAAATAATCAATTTCTCTTAAGTGATAATTTAAGTAATGTATCTCATAATAATCATGCTCCTACCTCACAACTTTTTATTTTGTGTGGATTACGTGGTCTTTCTTCATCATCAATGTCTACTTCTGTCAGTCGCAGCATGTTATATACTGTATCCCCTGTAATCTAACAAATAAAAAAGAAAATTTAATTGAAAAATATTAAATTCATTCTTTGAAATAAGGGAGGACTTTTGAAAATATTTTTTAAATAATTGAAAGGGAATTTCATATTGTTATATAAGAGTATATGCATTAAATAGTGTAAAAAAGCAACATCATCCTAAGGGGAAAAGGCATTGATGAAGTTTAATCCCTCAGTAAGATTTTTGAGAAATTTCCAATATATACTTAATGTCAGTTTTTATTAAAAATATAATGCCAAATAACCTCCTTCTGAATGACTACTTTTTGTTCAAACATTATAAACAAATTTACACTTTAGAATAGGGTAGATCAAGCAAATAACAATAACAATGTGGTAAGTACTCTGCAGACATTATTAAAGGCATTCTCCAAAGAGATAAAGTTGATTGTTTTTAGAGGTCGGCCCATGTCTGCTAGAGTGGGCTAAATACATATTTCAGGGAATCCTATACAGAACATCCAATGATTCCACTTTTGGTTTGTTTTACTTTTAGTAAGGATACGAAAGAGTAATATAACCCAGATAACTTCTAAGCCCTGGAAGTTGTATCAAATAAAAGAGAAATGGAATTTTTAAAAAAGACATTATCTCATTTAATCCTCAAAACACCCTAAAAGTAGGTACTATCATTATCTTGCTTTTCCAGATAAGAAAATTGCGGTTCAAAGAAGTTATACAGCCGACAGTGACGGCCATTCTGACTTGTAACCACTATGCCATACTTTGTCTCTAATGTGTAAGTTATATAACATCAATTGTAAACAGTGGTGCAGAATGGCAACATAAATCTCATTTTATTATATACTTATTTTTTGTAAATAATAGGAAGGAAAATCTGTGAACACCAGACAACCTAACCTGTGTTGGAGTGGCTCAAATGCGCCAATGCATATTTCTTAATCCACGTTAAGTATTAAGCAACAATACTGTATTGCATGTTTTTGGCATGACTCCTCTTATTCAACATTTCTCAAAAGTTCTAAAATAATACCAGTTTTCCAGTTGGGCTAAGTGTGTTCTTTCCCTTTTCATCTTTTGTCTAGGATAGGGGAAACCATTCTTATTGAACCAGCAGAGGGAGCTGATGCACTAGTGATGTCTAACACGCCTAAGACTTAATAAAACTATCTGGGAAAATATTGGAATATTTATAAAAAGGGAGAAGCATGAGGAAAAAAAAATCTTCAGAATCCCTTTTAAAGAAAACTATTGAAAATTCTATAGAAATGAAAATCTCTGATATGATGTTAAATGTAAGCAGGATTAAATAGGTATTGTTCAAAGTAATATTTCAGGTAAAAAGTTTTAATGTTGGGACTTCCCTGGTGGAGCAGTGGTTAAGAATCCACTTGCCAATGCAGGGGACATGGGTTCGATCCCGGGCCCAGGAAGATCCCACATGTTGTGGAGCAACAAAGCCTATGTGCCCCAACTACTGAGCCTGTGCTCTAGAACCCGCGAGCCACAACTACTGAAGCCCGCGTGCTTACAGCCTGTGCTCCACAACAAGAGAAGCCACTGCAATGAGCAGCCCGCACACTGCAATGAAGAGTAGCCCCCGCTCGCCACAACTAAAGAAAGCCCAGGCGCAGCAGTGAAGACCCAACGCAGCCAAAAATAAATAAATTTATTTTAAAAAAAAAGTTTTAATGTTAACACAAGTTCCACTTTAAACTGAAGGGAATTCATCATTAACAAAATAAACTTTAAACTACTAAATGTTATTACCTAGGTGTCTTTCTAAAAATGTTAAAACAGTATCAGCTGAGTGACATAATAGTTAATAATACCATTAATACAGAAAAATTTAATGTTAAAACCAGTGACTTGTTTTGAAAAACACACACAAAAATTCAGGTGGTTCCTCATAGTTTATTATAACAGGAATATACAGTATTCCATCATTTTTAGAAATAATAAATATCCTAGGGAATATTTTTATGAAGGCAGCTCTTAGATAAATTGATCATATATATCATAGAAGCCTAAGATAACTGGACACGAACCTTTCCAAAGATGGTGTGCTTATTGTTAAGTTCATCTGCTCGACCCAGTGTAAAGAAAAACTGACTGCCATTATCATGAGGACCAGCATTTGCCATGGCAACCAGTCCTCTCCGATTAAAACGCAACCGTGAGTGGAATTCATCCTGAAGCATTAAAAAAAAAAAAAGATTTAGTGAATGTCCTCAGTTATAAGGCCCTTCATATTACAGCTAACAAGCAAGGTCCCATACAACTTCTAACCAAAAATGCTGAAGTTTTATTTAACTGATTTTCACATATAATCAAATCCAATATCTACGGTTCCTTCTATTCTATTAAATTTCACTAGCCTGTAAGTATCTTCTAAATATACTCAGCCACAAATTTAGCCTATTTTGTGGAAAGCTTACTACTTACACAGAGGAAGGGTACTCAAGGGGAATGGATTTCTGAGTCATTTCCCTATTCTTCTCATCCCTCAAAGCCATCTAAGCTTTTAGAACCTTCTATTTTTTTTCTCTAGGATAACTACTTCTGAATCATTACAGAGTCTTCAACTATTCCCTTCCTGACCCCTTTCTAAATGTCATGAAACAATTGTTTTCTTCTTATTTTTTAATTCAAGGAATGTAGTATGATTATGTTATGTGCTTCACTGTGTTTTTTAAAGTCCTAAGTTGAATCCTCTCTGAACTGGCACTGGTCCCATTTGACAGTTTTCAAAAGAGCAGGAGCAAGCCATTCTAAGGTGGTTTTCTTGCTAGGGTAGGGTTACATAACATATACATTAGTCTCTTAGTTAATAGAAGACCTAATACTAGACTCATTTATAATATAGCCATGTTATATAATCAATGTTTTTCAGAAAGGAAGTTCTGTTTCCTTAATAAATTCGTCTCAAGGGATTTGAACTCAAAGGATCATAACTCTGGATACTGTATTAAAAATAACCTAATTGAAAAACTTACCAAGATATCTGTATCACTTGAATATAATAAGCAAAAATCTCAATTTAGAAAGGACTTGTCACAAAGAGCTATTCTGTTAAACCAAATAATAGAATAAAGGAATGCTTCCTACCAGATGGAGGCTCTAAAATAATGAGATATCTCAATTTTGTAAAATATAAAATAGTCTAACAGTGACATTTGAGACTCTTTTATAACCATTTCACATGTTCTAAGGCCACTAACATATGAAAATTAAAGCAAACAGTTCAAGTACTTTTCTCAAGAATCATACAGTAACCCAGTATAAAATTAAAGGAAATTCCAGACACTCTATCTTATTAGTATAAATTTGAAGTTTTTAAAAATTCACATATTTTAAGAGCTATTGATGCTTACTCATTAAAAGAACATAATATTGATACCATCAGATTAATAAATAACACAGCTTTTATCTTTTACTTGAACCCACTGCTATCCTTTATATCTTAATTATGACATCAACTCTTGTTTTCTTTTTAGATCTATGTTGGCAGTTAACAAAGCACTGACCTATTCTTGATTAAAACCCACACCTCTTCTAACTTTTATGTTGCTTCTTCCTTCTGTTTCCCCTTCTGATTTCTTGTTACAGCATGCATTTTGTGCTACAGAGGTCTATTGTGTACAATTTAAAGTGAATTCTGCTATGGACTGAATTGTGTCTTCTCATAGTTCATATGTTGAAGCGCTAACCTACAATGTGACTGTACTCGAGATAGGGCCCATAAGAAGATGAAAAAGGTTAAATGACTTCACAAGAGTGAAGTCCTAATCCAGTAGGGCTGGTGCCCTTATTAGAAGAGGAAGAAACACCAGAACGTTCTCTCTCCACCATGTGAAGACACAGCAAGAAGGCAGCCATTTGTAAGCCAGGAAGAGAAGCTTCACAGAACTGTATGCTAGCACCTTGATCTTGGACTTCCAAGCCTCCAGAACTGTGAGAAATAAATTCCTATTGTTTAAACCACCCAGTCAGAGGTATTTTGTTATAGCAGTTCAAGCAGATTAATATAAATTCTATACAGTGTTAAATAAAATGTTTTAAAATAGGATGGCATATGCAATGTTCTAGAAATATTTTACACATACAAAGTTGCCGAGATCAGGTACAGTCAGATATCGGGAAATATGTTATATAGTCTTTTTTTCTGACTCACATTTTCCTCACTACCACCTTTAGCTCCATCTGAATTCAATCTAGTGTAAAACTTTGTGACAAGACAACTTAGAAAGAATGCTTGATGGGGTAAGTGCTGCTCTTATTCTGTATAATCCTAAATATATGATAGACCCGATTTTGTGCACTAATGTAAAATGCATTTTCTTCTGAGGAGCACAATCATTTTTGATTAAGCAATCCAAGCTGACTTGAAAATAGATTAAAAAAATTCAGTCTCACCTTGAATGGGGCTCCATAGATAGACTCTCCACCAGTCCCTGTACCAGTAGGATCTCCCCCTTGGACTATAAAACCAGGTACAACTCTATGAAATATGGTGTTGTCATAATATGCTGGAAGAAAATAAAAAGAATTTATCATTCTTTTTCTGATTTTTCATTGTTAGTGTAAAGAACTGCAACAGATTTCTGTATGTTAATCTTGTATCCTGCTACCTTTCTGAAATTGTTTATCAGTTCTAATAGTTTTTGTGTGGTGACTAAGGTTTCTACATAGAGTATCATGTCATCTTCATATAATGACAATTTTACCTCTTCCCTTCCAATTTGGATACATTTTATTGCTTTTTCTTGTCTGACTGCTACGGCTAGGACTTCCAATACTATGTTGAATAGAAGTGGTGAGAGTGGGCATCCTTGTCTGGTTCCAGATTTTAGCAAGAAAGCTTTCAGTTTTTCACCACTGAGTATTATGTTGGCTGTGGGTTTGTCATAAATAGCTTTTATTATGGTGAGATATGTTCACTTCATACCCACTTTGGTGAGAATTTTTATCATGAACGGATGCTGAATTTTATCAAATGCTTTTTCTGCATTTATTGAGATGATCATGTGATTTTTGTTTTTTCTTTTGTTGACAAAACAATCCCTTTTAAAATCACATAAAAAAATAAAATATGTAGGAATAAACCTGACCAAGGAGGTGAAAGACCTATATGCTGAGAACTATGAAACATTGATAAAGGAAATTGAAAATGATTCAAAGAAATGGAAAGATATCCCATGCTCTTAGACTGGAACAATTAATATTGTTAAAATGGCCATACTTCCCAAAGCAATCTACAGATTTAATGTGATCCCTACAAATTACCTATGACATTTTTCATGGAACTAGATCTAATAATACTAAAATTTATATGGAACCACAAAAGACCCAGAATTGCCAAGCAATCCTGAGGAAAAAGAACAAGGCTGGAGGCATAACTCTGCAAGACTTCAGACAATACTACAAAACCACAGCAATCAAAACAGTGTGGTATTGGCCCAAAAACAGATATATGGATCAAGAGAAAGGAATAGAGGGCACGCACCTATGGTCAATTGATCTTCAACAAAGGAGGCAAAAATACACAACGGAGAAAAGACAGTCTCTTCAACAAGTGGTACTGGGAAAGTTGGACAGCTGCATGTAAATCAATGAACTTAGAACACTCCCTCACACCATACACAAATACAAACTCAAAATGGCTTAAAGACTTAAATAGAAGACATGACACCATAAGACTCCTAGAAGAGAACATAAGCAAAATATTCTCTGACATAAATCATAGCAATGCTTTCTTAGGTCAGTCTCCCAAAACAAAAGAAATAAAAGCAAAAGTAAACATATGGGACCTAATCAAACTTCTAAGCTTTTGCACAGCAAAGAAAACCATATACAAAGTGAAAAGACAATCTACAGAATGGGAGAAAATATTTGCAAAACATGAGACCGACAGGGATTAATTTCAAAAATATACAAACAGCTCAATATAAACAAACAAACAACCCAATCAAAAATGGGCAGAAGATGTAAATAGACATTTCTCCAAAGAAGACATACAGATGGCTAACAGGCACATAAAAAGTTGCTCAACATCACTAATAATTAGAGAAATGCAAATCAAAACTATAATGAGGTATCACCTCACACCAGTCAGAATGGCCATCATGAAAAAGTCTACAAATAATAAATGCTGGAGAGGTGTGGAAAAAAGGGAACCCTCCTACACTGTTGGTGGGAATGTAAATTGGTGCAGCCACTATGGAGAACAGTATGGAGGTTCCTTAAGATAACTTAAAATAGAGTTACCATATGATCCATCAATCCCACTCCTGGGCATATATCCAGAAAAGACAAAAACTCAAATTTGAAAAGATACATGCACCCCATTGTTCATATGGCATTATTTACAATAGCCAAGACATGGAAGCAACCTAAGTGTCCATCAACAGCTGAACGGATAAAGAAGATGTGGTGTGTGTGTGTGTATATATATATATATATATATATATATATATATATATATATATTACTCAGCCATAAAAAGGAATGAAATAATGCCATTGGCAGCAACATGAATGGACTAGAGATTATCATATAAAGTGAAGTAAGTCAGAGAAAGACAAATATCATATGATATCACTTATATGTGGAATCTAAAAAATGATACAAATGAACTTAATTACAAAACAGAAAGAGACTCACAGACATAGAAAACAAATTTATGGTTACCAAAGGGGAAAGGGGTGGGGAGGGATAAAACAGGAGTTTGGGATTAACAGATACACACTACTATATATATAAAATAGATAAACAACAAGGACCAATGTATAGCACAGAAAACTATATCTTGCAATAACCTATAATGGAAAAAAATCTGAGAGAGAATATCTACCTATATCTATATATATATCTTAATCACTTTGTTGTACACCTGAAACTAATACAACATTGTAAATCAACCATACTTTAATAAAAGAAAAATTTATCAATGTCTAAAACTAAGTGTATCTATAGTTATCAGAGTAAATACGACTAGTCACAAGATTTTTTTCCCCAGAACATTAAATAGGCTCCTAAACCAAAATCTTTTCTTCCGTATTATAAAATATCTACTCAGAACAGAACAATTTCTATAGAAACTATGGTAGTGGTTGTTTCATATCTACTTTCAGGATTCTCTTAAACTCTGGATTACAGTTTTCAAAATAAAAATTGGAGAGTTTTGATATAGATCTGTGGTTCTCAACTGGGGGGAGGAGAAAGCAGCAATTTTCTCCCTAGGGGACACTTGTCAATGTCTAGAAATATTTGGTTTTCAAATATGGGAGATGTTACTGGCATCTAGTAGGTAGAGGCCAGGGATACTAGTAAACATCCTACAAAGCACAGGAAGCCCCTACAACAAAGAATTACTGGCTCAAAATGTCAACAGTGCTGGAGATTGAGAAACCCTCATAGAGATAAATACCTTATTTCCTAATTCTTCCTCTTCTCCCCATAGAAAATTAACTTATACAAACAACATACAAACCCAAAATATATCAAAATTACTCACTGATTATAGGTCTAGCACCATCAATGCACCCTCCTCAAGAAATTTTCAATAAATAAATCAACACAATACATGAGTCCAATTAGACTCTCAGTAAGTTTGCTAAATGAAGAAAATTGCTTATATTTATGTATAAATATATTAATGGGAAGCTATAAACATACGAGAGATCATACATGAACTCCTAATTGATTGAGTTGGATTCAGTTATTGAGCATAGTCATAATTTAATCACATGCTGAGGAATGCAAAGCAAAGAGATGGAAAGAGCATAGTTCACTAAAGTCTTTACTGAGCTGCAGAACTTCTGGACACCAGATTTCTTATCAAAGAGGATGATAAATGTCTTCATTAATTAAATAATTTTGAGTTGAGTCTTCTATTACTTGAAACTGAACCAACTCAACTCATTCAATGACAGATACTTATCAAGTGCCTACTGTGGGCCAGACACTGTAATGATACAATTACTGACATAAATCATAAAACACCAATTACATGAGTACTTTGTGATACTTTATTAGTCAAAACATGACTATGGTTTATCATAATTCATGAAGTACTATAATACTGTGGCTTGCAGGCCCCTCACAATTATTTACATTTGCAAGCTATAACTGGAAATAAAATCCACATTTTAAAAAATGTAATCTGTAATCTAACAACTGTATCCAGTTCATAGGATGGATTGGAAGAAGTAGAAAGGAAGATTAATGGATTTTTTTCAATCGCTTCTCCCAGTGAAGAGCTGTTAGGCTATGTTCACAAGAACTCCCCAGTACAGACAAGTTCTCCTTGGTTACAAACCAGAAACTGTAAAAATCAAGAAGTCTACAAGTATTTCTCCTGTATCCCTAAGTAACCATTTACTCTGATTAAAAATGTATATAGCAGTCAGGAATTCGGAGCCTTGCCTCTTGTTAGCGGTGCAAACTTAAACTCAATTTTCTTTCTTTTTTTTTCTCTTTTTTTTCTCTCTCTTTTTTTAAATTGAGATATAATTGACACATAAAATTACACTAGTTTCAGATGTACAACATAGTGATTCAATATTTGTATATATTGTGAAATGTTCACGGACAATAAAACTAGTTAACATCTATCACCATACATAGTTACAAAATTATTTTTCTTGCGATGAGAACTTTTAAGATCTACTGTCTTAGCAACTTCCAAATATGCAATACAGTATTATTAACTACAGTCATCATACTGCACATGTAATTTTCTCATTATAAAACTAATAATATAAATTAACTCACAGTGCTGTTCTGAAGATTAAATAAGATAATGTGGAGGCAACCTATAAATTTTCAAGGTCAAAACAAATGTGAGGTCAGACTTTAATATTTTCACTTAAATTCTACCAATCCATACTCAAATTTGAATACTTACCTGAGTCTGTATCAAAAAATAAAAATAATCCTTTATGCCCATAATATGCAATCAACAGTTTTTTAATTATTTTTTAATTTTATTTAATTTATTTTTTTATACAGCAGGTTCTTATTAGTCATCCATGTTATACACATCAGTGTATACACGTCATTCCTAATCTCCCAATTCATCATACCACCACCACCACCCACCACTGCTTCCCCCACTTGGTGTCCATACGTTTGTTCTCTACATCTGTGTCTCAATTTCTGCCCTGCAAACGGGTTCATCTGTACCATTTTTCTAGGTTCCACATATATGCGTTAATATGCGATATTTGTTTTTCTCTTTCTGACTTACTTCGCTATGACAGTCTCTGTGACAGATTCATCCACGTCTCTACACATGACCCAATTTTGTTCCTTTTTATGGCTGAGTAATATTCCATTGCATATATGTACCACATCTTCTTTACCCATTCGTCTGTCAATGGGCATTTAGGTTGCTTCCATGACCTAGCTATTGTAAATAGTGCATGCAATCAACAGTTTTTGAGCACATGATCAGATTTACTTTTTCAAAGGATCACTTAAACCCCATAACGAAGAACTGATTGGAAGTAACAAGGTGGAGAGAGAGAGAGAGCAACTGTTGTCCTAAGAGTCAAGACATGACTATGGCTTATTTTGAGAGGCACAGATTCAAGAATTCTCTAGGAAGCAAGATCTATAAGGCTCAGAGATCTATTAGATATGAGGGAAGGGGGACATGAAAGAGGTCTTTATTACTTGTGCTTTCAAATTTTAAAATTACCCATCTTATTTCTTTTTCCTATTTCCTATTAAGTCTTTCAGTGATGTTGGATTTTAACTTTAAGCTTTCCTTTATTTTCCTAATTATATTCTTGTTGGATAAATGAAATTATTATACTACTACATATATTGAGTAGAAATTTTCTATAATTTCTCTACACCTTAAATTTTGTATTCTATTGTGCCTAGAATTGCAAATTTCCAAATAATTTCCATATCTATTATTTCCACTTCCTTGTAATTTATTAATAATCACTGTTGAACTATGCATTTATAGTTACAGCTTACCATGTGCTTAAAAGATCTTCCTGCTTGCAATAATGTTTGACGTCCTTCTTAAATGTTTATGTATCATTCCCATAAGTATTTTGAAGGGGTTTTATTATCTCATTATGTGTGTTCATAATATCCTCCTGAATTTTCTCCACTATTGAAAAAAAGAAATTTACATGTACCTCAAATAGGAAATCAAGTTTCTATTCGGATGCCGTGAGTCTGCTATTTGTCATTATGTTTTTTATTTCTGGCTGTACAATGTATGGGTATCATGACATATTTTGACTAATTTTATTTCTGTCCAAGTATTAATACACACAGGAATTTATATTTGCATTTTAAAATCATGTATATCTGGTTCTTCTTCTAGAATTTTGTTTTGTGTTTAATTTTGTAAATATTATCATTAATAACTTTTTATTTAAATCTCCTTTGTGAGCTCTCTATTTTAGCCTCTTGGGTTTTTTTAAACAAACATTTTAGTTTTGTAAGATATTTCTTTAAATCTCTTACTATATACTTACATTTGTAACTTCTAAAAAATTATTAAAACTCTTGTTAAAGGAGGAAGGGGATAAAAGATAACTGATGAAGCATGGACATTCAGGAGACAGGGCTGAGGTAAAATTTCACAAGAGTTAATAGTCACATAAAGTATAAAAATTTTGATTTTCTTATCTACTTCTCTTTCTGCTCCCCACTTTGTTTTTCAGACCTAAAATTCTACTCCTTCCTCATTCTTCAGAGGAGCTAACAAAATTTTCAAAGATAACAAGCTTCCCTTTCCTTCTCTTCTTTTTTAACCTACTTTTTAAACTTACAATTTTTTAAAATTTTCACTCATTTTTAAATGTTTACCTAACTATCCTACAAAGACCTGAAATCCAAGATTAAGTCTGTATAACTGTAAATATTTTGTTTTCAGAAAAACTAAAAACTCCCCCCAGACACAGAAAGACAAATACTGTATATTCCCACTTATATGTGGAATCTAAAAAAGTTCAACTCATAGAAACAGAGAGTAGAATGGTGGTTGCCACAGGCTGGAGGTGATGGGGGAATGGGAAGATGTTGGTCAAAAAGATACAAATTTTCAGTTATAAGATGAATAAGTTCTGGGGATCCAATGCACAGCATGGTGATTTTAGTTAATAATACTGTATTGTATACTAGAAATTTGTACATGTTCTCACCACATACACTCACACAAAAAGGTAACTATGTGAGGTGGCAGATATGTTACTTAACTTGATTGTGGTAATCATTTCACAATGTATACATATATTAAGTCATCACATTGTACACCTTTAAAAAAATCATGTTGTATAATCTAAATATATACAATTTTTCTCAATCATACCTCAGTAAAGCTGGAAAAAAAATACTAAGAATTTCCCTTTAACTGTGAACACCATTTTAGTTGAGAGCCATATCTGAGGCTGTGCTCCCACTTGCTCATTTTTATTTATTTGCTTTTTAATTTTGGAAATCATGTCCTTTTTTTAAAATATTGATATGACCATTACAAGATCTAGAAATATCATCACTTGTTTAAATTATATAATCAGAGAATTAAAATGAGGTTCTCTGAATTAAAATTTTAAAACCTTGACTTTATTCATTTAGGAGCTTTATTTAAATTAGTTTTCTCAGGCTTCTTGTTAGCTTTTGCAATAATAATTCTATTTCTCACCTATTCAATTAAAAGAATTGCTCTAATTATTTTTTCTTATTATTTTCGTATTCTTTTTTCTTTCTTATTGTATTCTCATAAATAGGGAAATAATTTTTTAATGTTGTAATTAAGTTTCATCATCACCTAACTTAAGAACCTTATTTATTCTTTCATTGTTATATTATATCCAGATGTTTTCTGTTTCTTCCATTCACCTGGTCATGGATTATAATTTACCATTTATTCTTTCTAATGTTTTTGTACTTTCACTCTTCTGTAAAATTTGAGCTCTTGATTCTTCAAAACTTCTTTCCAGAAACAAGTCTTACTTTTCAGTGTCTACTGTGTTTCTCGGCTCTGTTGACAGTTATTTGAGGCTTCTCTGACTGAACTACCTGTCTGATTCAATTTCCTTCCTGCCTGCCATAGCAATTATTAATAATGGTCTTTACAGATGTCTTCTTTTCTCTTTTCCTTTTTTGTCAGCTCGATTTTTTTTTTGTTTGTTTTGGAGAGGCGGTTGTTTTTGTTTTGGTCTGGGTGGTTTTATTCCTTAAATCTTCCCGTGGTAATTTTGTTTGTTTAGTTATCTATTTGGAGAACTCTCACTGTACCATACTACTGGTTATTTTGTATTCTCTTTCACATCTTGCTTTTGACTCAAAGTGCTGTTTTCTGATACCTTGAACTTCATTACTCAAATCTAAGAGTTACTAGTGACATTGATAATACCATCACTGAAAGCTGGCTGGAAGGCTTTGTGGAGAAAGTAGAATTTTGAATAGGCATTAAAAAGTGGTGGAATTCCCTGGTGGTCCAGTGGTTAGGACTCAAGTGCTTTCACTGCTGGGGCCCAGGGTTCAGTCCCTGGTGGGGGAACTAAGATCCTACAAGCCAGACCGCGTAGCCAAAAAGAAAAAAAAAAAGTGACTTGAATAGAAAAAGAAGAGAAGAGAAAGTATTCCAAAAAGGCGAGGGAGGATATGAGAAGATTCAGGATATGAAGGAGGTATGAGTGGAAATGGGAAAGAACTGCTCAGGAAATAAAGATAATAGTCAACTGAAACCATGTGGTTATATGCAATGAAAAATAAAGTTGGAAAGCTAGGAAGCTAAGCTGCATGAGGATTCAAATACCAGATGAATAAATGTGAGGGTAAAGGATCAAAGATGAGAAAATGCAAGACCAGGTAAAAGGCAATTACAATCACGTTGGTGACAGTCAAGGCAGTCTGGGGAAGAAACTGGTAAATTTGGTTTTTATCAGTTTAGTTGTAGCTGACAGTAGAAGATTTGAGTAGAAAAGTCCACTAGGCAATTAGATATGTAAATTAGAGCTCAAAAGAGGAGAAATGGCTGGAATTCTATATTTGACAGTCACTTGGTTGGAAGTAACAATTGAAGAGTAAAGACAATAGAGAACTAAAGGCAATCTTGGGGAATACCCATATTTAGAGGATGAAAGAAAGAAGTGAAAACAGCCAAGGAGATCAAAAAAGATCAAAGTATTATTTGCTGAGATAAATATCTCTGTTAAAGACATAAAGATTAAAAAAAAAAAAGATATAGAGATTTATTGGGAGGAAGGATTTTTATCTCCTCTCTCCATTTCCTGACACACAGCTCAAGATGGTATCATTTATATCAACTCCCAGCATCCATTACCACTATTTAACACCAGTCTTCAATGTTATGGAAAAATACACTGCAGTTTATTTTATTTTATTTTTATTTATTTTTGGCCACACCATGCGGTATGTGAGACCTTAGTTCCCTGACCACGGACTGAACCCATGCCCCCTGCAGTGGAGGCACAGAGTCTTAACCACTGGACCACCAGGGAAGTCCCTGCAGTTTATTTTTAAATTAACAAAATTTCTCCTACAGAATAAAATTCAAGAATTATGATTACCTTCCAAACAAAGCTGAATGAAATTTCTGCAAGCTTTAGGAGCTTCTTTTGACCACAACTCTATGTCAATATCTCCAGCTGTAGTTTTCAATAAAACCTGTAGAAAGCATACAAAATCACTGTTAATTATCATTTTGCTTAATGATGAGTTGATTGGCTGCTCAACTTAAAGTATTCACTACTGAATTTTCAATTTTAAAATAAAAATTAGAAACTTTGTTTCGTTTTTGTTATACTCAAAAAATTTCAAATATTCAGTACAAGTCACTGTACATTTATACCTTTCAAATACCATTTTCAGAAATAATTTTGGCTTTAAGAAAAAATAGCATATATGTTTTTGAATCACAGAAAAAAACCTCATTCATTTAAAAATCAGTAATATAAACTTGTTTTAATTTAAAAAGTGTTCTACAGCATTTCTTCCAATAAAATTGGTGTAGCAAATTAAGAAATTAAAGAACAATCCCATGAAATTACAGCACTGTAGGACAATTTTACAATTACCTTTTAACATATAAACACTCTACTTTTTCATTCAAAATCACGCCATTCCTAATTTACAAAGGAACATTCTTAATCTAATTCTGGGTTGTATATTACTAAAATGGTGTGCCTTAAAATTACCATCTACGGTAAATGGAATCCTTTGATAGCCTTCTTTCCATAGCTCATGAAGGCAGTTACTCCTTGGTGCAACAAGCCATCTTGCAACAACCAAAATCCCTACTGAGCCCACAGGAGGAGACAGCTTATAACAGTCTTATTAATAACCACAAATAACCAAAAAGAACGGAAAGCTCTAAATTTGAACACTGTGGCACAGCTGGAATCCAACTTCTCTAGTATCACTCCCCCCACACACCCACCCCACAGTGTGCCAAAGTAGATCAGTGTCAATCTGTGATCAATGGTCAATGATATATGATCATCACCATCACTTTTGCTATAATTGCCTTTCAGTTTCTGTTTCAGAAGCTCAAATTAATTGCCATAATTTATGTAACATTGATGAATTTATTGTATCTTTTTGGGGTTTTACTGGCTACATAGTTCTCTTACAATTAAGCTCCATGGGGGTGGAAGAGGTGAAAATATCTATACTGTGGTAGTTTTTAAAATGGTTCTTAACCCTTAAAGAAATATAAAAGAACTAAAAATGCAAATGTCCATGATTTTTTCAATCCATTACACTTCCTCTACAAAAAGAAGGGAACATTTGTTGAGTGCCTTCCAGGTGTTAGCTGCTGTGCCACTTTACATATCCTTATCTCATTTAATCCTCACCTACAAGATAGGTATCATTACTCTTATTATACTTATGAAGAAACAGAGACTCAGATAAAGTAAATTTATCCAGGGTCTCATGGTGAACAATTTAAGCCAAAGGCTGTCTGCTGCAAAGCCCATGCCTTTTCTATCGCACTGTACTGCCTCCACAAAGTTCACCATGAATTCCACACTATACTGGAAAAACAGTCCATCAAGCTCTAGGGCCCTGCCACATGTCACAAAATAAATCCCCAATCTGGTCACAACTGATTTGAGTAGAGAAAAGTGCCTAAGTCAAAAGCATTCATATATTGGTTGGACATGAGAAAGGCCTTCTAACTTGGCTTGGCATGAAACAACGCCCAAAAGAGATTCTCCATATTGAATGGTGACACACCAATCCAAGTGGATTCTCATTCTCCTGGAAAATATACGTGTGGGATGCAAAATGAGAGCCTGAGTAACTCCCTCTACCTCAGATTGTATTATCTAAAACAACACTGTGTAACACGTTTTGATTTTCCACAAGGCCTGATATTCATCCCAATCTTAGAAGTACAGTATACATAACAAATGTCCTTCCTACCTCATTATCCCCTTGTATACTCAAAATAAAGTTCTATTGTTAAAGAGAACCTAGACATGTTTCCATATTTCCTATACCCTGGCAACCACTAATCTACTCTCTGTCTCTATGGATTTGTCTATTGAACATTTCATATTCAGGCATACCTCTGAGATATTGCAGGTTTGGTTCCAGATCATTACAGTGAAATGAATATTGCAATAAAGTGAGTCACATAAAGCTTTTGGTTTCTCAGTGCATACAGAAGTTATGTTTACTCTATATCGTAGTCTATTAAGTGTGCAACGGCATTATATCTAAAAAAACAATGTGCAAACCTTAATTTTAAAAAATACTTTATTACTAAAAACTGCCAATCCTCATGTGAGCCTTTAGCAAGTCATAATCTTTTCCCTGGTGGAGGTTTTAAAATATTGCAAGAATTACCAAAATGTGACACAGAGACACAAAGTGAGCAAATGCTATTGGAAAAATGATGCCAAGAGACTTGCTCTTGTGTGTATAAGTGAATCACTTTGCTGTATACATGAAACTAACACAACGTTGTAAATCAACAATACTTCAATTTAAAAAAAAAACAACTGAACAACCAATGGATCACTGGAGAAATCAAAGGAGAAATAAAAAAATACCTAGGGACAGAAATACCACACACCAAACCTTATGGGATGCAACAAAAGTGGAAGCAACCTAAATATCCATCGACAGAGGAATGGATAAAGAAGATTTGGTACATATATACAATGGAATATTACTCAGCCACAAAAAGGAACGAAATAGTGCCATTTGCAGAGACATGGGTGGACCTAGAGATTGTCATACAGAGTGAAGAAAGTCAGAAAGAGAAAAACAAGTATCGTATAATATTGCTTGCATGTGGAATCTAGAAAAATGGTAGAGATGAATGTATTTGCAAAGCAGAAATAGTCACAGATGTAAAGAACAAACTTATGGTCACCAAGGTGGGGAGGAGTGGGTGGGATGAATTGGGAGACTGGGATTGACATATATACGCTACTATGTATAAAACAAATAACTAATGAGAACCTACTGTATAGCACAGGGAACTCTACTCAATGCTCTGTGGTGACCTAAATGGGAAGGAAATCTAAGAAAGAGCGGATAATATGTATATATATAACTGATTCAGTTTGCTGCACAGCGGAAACTAACACAACATTGTAAAGCAACTATACTCCAATAAAAATTTAAAAAAAAAAGAAATACCACACACCAAACCTTATGGGATGCAACAAAAGTGTTTCTAAGAGAGAAGGTCATAGCAATACAGGCCAATCTCAAGAAACAAGAAAATCTAAAACAATCTAACTTTACACGTAAATGAACTAGAAAAAGAAGTGAAGCCCAAAGTTAGTAGAAAGAAGGAAATAATAAAGATCAAAGTGTAATAAATGAAATAGAGACTAAAAAACAATAGAAAAGATCAATAAAACTAAGAGCTAGTTCTTTGAAAAGATAAACAAAACTGACAAGCCTTTAGCCACACTCACGAAGAAAAAAAAAGAGAGGACTCCAATAAATAAAATCAGAAATGCAAGAGAGGTTACAACTGATACCACTCAAACACAAAGGAGCAAAGAGACACTCTGAACAATTATATGCCAACAAATTGGACCACCTAGAAAAAACAGATAAATTCCTAGAAACATACAATCTCCCAAGACTGAATCATGACAAAATAGAAAATGTGAAGAGACCAATTACTAGTAAGGAGATTGAATCAGTAATCAAAAGCTCCCAACAAACAAAAGTACAGGACTAGATGGCTTCACTGATGAATTCTACCAAACATTCAAGAAAGATTTAATACCTATCCGTCTCAAACTCATTTTACAAAGCCAGCATTACCCTGATAACAAAACCAAAGACGCCACAAAAAAAGAAAATTACAGGCCAATATCCCTGACAAACATATATGCAAAAATTCTCAATAAAATATTAGCAAATCAAATGCAACAATACATTAAAAGGATCACACAGGATGATCAAGTGGGATTTATCCCAGGGATGCAACAGTGGCTCAACATCCACAAATCAACCAATGTATTACACCACATTAACAAAATGAAAGATAAAAATCATATGATCATCTCAATAGATGCAGAAAAAACTTTGGAAAAAATTCAACATCCATTTATGATAAAAAGTCTCAACAAAGTGGGTACAGAAGGAATGTACTTCAATGTGATTAATGTGATATATGACAAACCCACAGCTAGTATCATATTCAATGGTGAAAAGCTAAAAGCTTTTCCTCTAAGATCAGGGACAAGACAAGGGTGCCCACTCTACCCACTTTTATTCAACATAGTACCAGTAGTCCTAGCCACAGCAATTAGGCAGGACAAAGAAATAAAAGGCATCAAAATTGGAAAGGAGAAAGTAAACTGTCACTATTTGCAGTTGACATGATACTATATAGAAAACCCTAAAGACTCCAGCAAAAATATGTTAGAATTAATAAATGAATTCAGTTAAATTGCAAGACACAAAATTAATATACAAAAATCTACTGCATTTCTATACAGTAATAATAAACTATCAGAATGAAAAATCAAGAAAAGAATCCCATTTACAACTGCACCAAAAAAAAAAAAAAAACCCAAAACAAAAAACCTAGGAATAAATTTAACCAGGAGGCAAACGATCTTTAAAATATAAGACATAGATGAAAATATAAGACAGAGATGAAAAAACTGAAAAAGATACAAAATAAGTGGAAAGATATTTTGTGCTCATGGATTGAAAGAATATTGTTAAAATGTCCATACTACCCAAAACAATCGATAGATTCAGTGCAATCCCTATCAAAATTCCAATGGCATTTTTCACAGAACCAGAACAAATAATCCTAAACTTTGTATGGAACCACAAAAGACCCCAAATGGTCAAAGCAATCTTGAGAAAGAATAACAAAGCCAAAGGTACCATGCTCCCTGATTTCAAACTATATTACAATGCTATAGTAATCAAAACAGTATGGTATTGGTATAAAAAGACACATAGATCAATGGAACAGAATAGAAAGCTCAGAAATAAACCCACACATACACAGTTAATTAATTTACAACTAAGGAGGCAAGAATACACAATGGGGATAGGACAGTCTCTTCAATAAACTATGCTGGGAAAGTTGGACAGATGCAAGTAAAAGAGTGAAACTGGACCACTATCTTACACCATATATAAAAATAAACTCAAAATGGATTCAAGACTTGAATATAAAACCTGAAACCATAAATATTCTAGAAGAAAAGATAGGCAGTAAGCTCCTTGACACTGGTCTTAGCAATTTTTTTTTTTGTACCTGATCCAAAGGCAAGGGAAACAAAAGGAAAAATAAACAAATGGGACTACATCAAACTAAAAAGCTTCTGCACAGCAAAGGAAACCATCAATGAAATGAAAATACAACCTACTGAATGGGAGAAGATATTTGCAAATTATATATCTGATAAAGGGTTAATATCCAAAATATAAAAAGAACTTATACAACTAAGTAACATAAAAACAATCTGATTAAAAAACGGGTATAAGGATCTGAATAGACATTTTCCCACAGACATACAGATGGGCAACAGGCACATGAAAAGATGCTCAACACCACTAATCATCAGATAAATGCAAAACAAAACCACAATGAGGTATCACCTCACACCCAATAGAATGGCTATTATTTAAAAGATAAGAAATAACAAGTGTTGGCAAAGATGTGGGAAAAAGGGAACCCCTGTGTACTGTTGGTGGGAATATAAACTGGTGCAGCTACTATGGAAAACAGTGTGGAGGTTCCTCAGAAAATTAAAAATGAACTACTGTACTAACCAGCAATTCCACTTCTGGGTATTTATCCGAAGAAAATGAAAACACTAACTAGAAAAGATATATGTGCCCCTCTGTTCACTGCAGCATTATTCACAATAGCCAACATATGGAAACAACTTAAGTGTCCATTGATGGATGAATATAAAGAAGATACACACTAGAATACCACTCAGCCATAAAAAAGAAAGGAATACTGCCATGTGCCACAACATGGATGGAGCTTGAGAGTATTATGCTAAATAAGTCAGACAGAGAAAGACAAATACCGCATGATTTCACTTACACATAGACTCTAAAACACAAAACAAACAAACAAAACAAAACAAAACCTAGACTCTTAGATACAGAGAATAGACTGGTGGTTGCCAGAGGAGAGAAGGAGTGGAGGTAGGTGGGAGGTGAGTGGGTAGAATGGGTGAAGGGGATCAAGAGGTACAAACTTCCAGCTAAAAAATAAGTCACGGGCATGAAATGTACAGCATGGAAAATAGTCAATAATGTAGTATTAACTTTATATGCTGACAAGTGGTAACTAGACTTATTGTGGTGACCATTTTGCAATGTATTCAAACGTCAAATCATTATATTGTAACACAAAACTAATATAATAGTGTATGTCACATATACTTCAATTAAAAAAACAGGGATAATAATATCCTCATAGGTTCACTGTGAGGACAAAATGAGTTATTATACACAGACTGCTTAGAACAGTACCTGACAAATAGTAAATGCTCAAAATATGATAGCCATTATTGTTGTAAATATTATTCTTATAAAATTTTTTGACCACAGGAAACTTATTCCCAGTAAAAAGAATGCATATATGGTTGGGCCACCTTGTTTACAAGGTTTTCTTAATCTTTTAAGAAGATTAACTACTGAATAAAAAAAGAAGGCACATGGCTCCTCCTTTGGCCATGCATTCCCATTAGCCATAACTACTATGTCAAGCATCAGTGGCTCTTTTTCTTAAAGCTTACAAGTAAGACAACACTTTGATAATAAAATGTCTCTTAAGAATAAATATATGGGTTAATATAAAATTTAGATTAAATCATCATAATATGTGGAAATTTCATTTTCAATAGATAGGAAAATTTCTGTCAAGGGTTACATTTCTGTGCCTCATCCTCAAAGGCCAGAGTTATAACATAACACAGCATATTTACAGACTACTGCCAGGGGTTAACCACCGGTATAATGTGTCAATTACTTCCCAAGTTGATACTATACTCTTTGAAGAGAGAAATTTTGTCCCACATATTTGGAATATCTCTGAATCCTTTCAGTACCTAATGTAGCATTAGACAGTATAGCCACTAAACAAACATTTCATTAAGGAAACTTTTTATTACATCTGCTTTAAATTCCTTCCAGGCCAAAATTCTTGCCATGCTCTCTATGGTACAAAATTTTGAAGCCTCAATGTCTTCAATCAGTCTTATTATTCTGGAAAAAGTCCCAAATCGGTTTTGAAGGAAAACTTGGGCTATGCCTCATATTCTCCCTCAGCCCAATTCTGTTCAGAAGGACAATATTCACCACAGTTTGCATACACTTATTTGCATGATTACTTCACCATGGTATATTTCACTCAACTTACTCTCTGATAATAGGGACAATGCTGGTTTTTCTTTCCATTGTGTCCCTAAAACCTAGCATAGAGCCTGGCCTATGCTAGGTGCTCAGTAAATATTTGTTGAATGAAAGATTTCTGTTCAGGCATATATCTTTGTTAAAGCTTCTCATCTTTATGACCATGTTGAATCTTCCTCCAGAGTAAAACAACTAAGTCTGCCCTTGACAGTAGGAATATAACCTCAAACTCACTGATGCTTCTTAACTTCTCAGAAGTTAAGAGAAATACAGTATTAATTCATCCACCCATTCATTCAGTACATATTTGAACTGCTGCTACCATGTGTCAAGCACCATTCTAGATGTCTGTCTCTGCCCTCATAATGCTCATTCCACGGGTGAGAGTAGTGGAGGAGGATACAACAATAAAAAATAAGTACTGAAAAAGAAAAAAAGTACTGGAGAAAAAACTAAAGAGCTTAAGGAGGCAAGGGAATGCTGGAATGCAGGATATGAATGAGGTTTGCTATATTATAGAGAGTTGATAGGAAAGCCCTCTCTGCTAAAATGCCATTTGAGCAGGCTAGGGTATACTACAGAAAGGAACAAGTGTGAACTCCTGCCTAGCAGGATGGGCAATGTATTCCAACTCTACCAGTGTTTATCAACTGGGGGTGATATCACTCTCAAGAAACATTTGGAAGTAAGAAGAGATAGGTATTCTGGGTTTTCACAATGATGTAGGGTAGGAGTGAGGAGGGGAAAAAGTGCAAACAACAGAACTGAAAGAATTGCTCTGCCCAAAATACCCACTAAAATGTTTGTTGGGGGTATCATTTACAGCATTTTTGCTTTTGTTTTCAAACTGCTCTCACTGTGTTACAAAATGTAAACGAACAAGATTGCAACATAATTGTATCTGATACAAATTCAGTTTATCCTAATTCACCTCTATGCTTTCATTCTATTTTCTCCATTATGCTGGTTCATCATATTTTGTGTGTGATACAGACTAGGTCCCAGTTCAAGAATTCAAGTGATACTTATTCCATTATTGACTGCCTCATACTGCATATAAACACTTTGAATAGGAATTGACATACCTTGACCATCAAAATCAATCAGGAAATTATTCTCTCATCCTAATGTGGGAACATTTTCCATTCCCCACTTTCTCTGACAAAGACCAGTTCAAATGACACTTCATCCATAAAGCCTTTCCCTA